AGAAGTGGAATTTGCTGAATCATAAAATAGGTGTTTTTGTCATTTTTATATGAAATTTACAATCTGGTGTTCAAAGGTGATAGTACCATTTTATTCTCTTATCATCTGTGTATGAAGTTCTCATTTGTTCCACATCCTTTGTTTTCTGAGACAGAGTCTTGGTCTGTCACCAGGCACCAGGCTGGAGCACAGTGGCGGGATCTCGGCTCACTGCAATCTCCACCTCCTGGGTTCAAGCAATTCTGCTGCCTCAGCCTCCGAGTAGCTGGGACTACAGGCACATGCCACCACGCCGAGCTAATTTTTGTATTTTTTAGTAGAGGCAGCGTTTCACCATGTTAGCCAGGATGGTCTCTGTCTCTTGACCTCGTGATCCACCAGCCTTGGCCTCCCAAAGTGCTGGGATTACAGGCATGAGCCACCACGCCCAGCCTGCTCCGCATCCTTATCAACTCTTGCAATTACCAGTCTTTTAACACTTAGCTATTATTGTGGTTTTCATATGCATTTCCTTGATGATTCATGATGTTGAACATAACTTCATGTGCTTATGAACCATTTGAATATCTTCTTTGGTGGTTCCTGGTCAAAATTTTGACCATTTAAAAAATTGGGTTGGGGCTGGGCATGGTGGCACACACCTGTAATCCCAGCACTTTGGGAGGGATTTTTGAGAAATTCTTTTTCTTTTTTTTTTTTTAAAGACGTGGTTTTACCATGTTGGTCAGGCTGGTCTTGAACTCCGGACCTCAGGTGATCCGCCCGCCTCGGCCTCCCACAGTGCTGGGATTACAGGCGTGAGCCACCGCACCCGGCCAAGGATTTTTGAGACATTTTTTGAATATTTTTGAATCCTATTTTCTTTGTCCCCAGGATGAGACTGCAAGCAGATACCTCATGGGGTGGTTGGGAATACTAAAGGGATAATATGTGTGCAAATCACATATATAATTTCCGCACAAGCTCAAGTGATCCTCTCGCCTCCACAGCTACTTGGAAGGCTGAGGTGGGAGGATCCCTTGAGCCCTGGAGGTTGAGGCTACAGCTACTGCACTCCAGCCTGAGTGGATCACTTGCAGGGTGAGAAAATCACTTGACAGTTCAAAAACAGCCTGGGCAATACAGCAAGACCTAATCTCAAAAAAATGGGTTGGTTTTCCTATATTAATTTGTATGAATTATTATTATTGTTTGTTTGTTTGAGATGGAGTCTTACTCTGTCGCTCAGGCTGGAGTGCAGTGGCTTGATCTCAGCTCACTGCAACCTCTGCCGCCCAGGTTCAAGCGATTCTCCTGCCTTAGCCTCCCAAGTAGATCAGATTATAGGTGCCTGTCACCACACCCAGCTAATTTTTGTAGTTTTTAGTTGAGATGGGGTTTCACCATCTTGGCCAGGCTGGTCTTGAACTCCTGACCTTGTGATCCACCTGTATCGGCCTCCCAAAGTGCTGGGATTACAGGTGTGAGCCACTGTGCTCAGCTATTATTGTTATTATTAATTTATTTATTTTCGAGACAGAGTTTTGCTGTTGTCACCCGGACTAGGGTACAATAGCACAGTCTTGGCTCATTGTCAGCCCCCCAGGTTCAAGGGATTCACCTGCTTCAGCCTCCCAAGTTGCTGGGATTGCAGGTGCCCACGACCACACCTGGCTAATTTTTGTATTTTTAGTAGAGACAGGGTTTCACCATGTTTGTCAGGCTGGTCTCAAACTCCTGACCTCAGGTGATCCTCCCACCTCGGCCTCCCAAAGTGCTTGGGATTACAGGCGTGGGCCACCTCGCCCAGCCTGAATTATTTCTTATTGTGATTCAAGACATTTGCTACAAATGCGCATTATGAATATTTTCCCTCAGTCTGTAGCTTGCCCTTTTATTATCTTTGGAGAATAGAAGTATCTATGAAGTCAAATTTATTTATTTCTTCTTTAACATTTTTTGTGCCCTGTCCAAGAAATCTTTGATAACTTCAAAATGGTTTTTCTGTTGTGTTTTGTTTCTGGAAGCTTTCTGGTTTGGATTTTTATGCTTTGTCTGTGATTAATTTCAAATTAATTTTATATGTGGAGGCCGGGCGTGGTGGCTTATGCCTGTAAACCCAGCACTTTGGGAGGCTGAGGTGGGTGGATCTCAAGGTCAGAAGTTCAAGACCAACCTGGCCAACATGGTGAAACCC